CTAAATACATGGCTACCATTTTACTTTAACCTAGGAAAAATAGTTGGAAATCTACAACTTATTACCAATTATTACAGTAATCACTAAATTCATCCCCAAATTATTGAAAAGTAAGGGTGCACTGGTCTGCACTTGAAACAACAAAATAAATTGTTCTATTGTTGGACCCTGGCTTATATAATTTCCATAAATAAATTAGAAACGCATTGAAGAACAGATTTCCGACACTAAATATATATATGTTCTTGAACACCATCACCTGAAGAGTTTAACTAGACATGTCCGCATGTCTGTCCGTACGTCCGTTTCATAGTTTTGAACCTTTCTAGATAGATCTTTTCCAAAAGATTGTAGGTAGTATATAAGTCGGAAAGTTCCGGATCGGGCGACTATAGCATCAAAATCGACTGCTTCATTTTTTTTAGCATAAAAACGCATAATATTGATCACGCATAAATATTGAAAGTAGTCTGTAAATTGCTGTAATACCTGCAGGGGCTTGCCAAAGTTTTCTTTCTTTCTTGTTTTTTAGTTAATTTACTAGAAAGTTAGATAAGTCAAACGACAACTACTTTTCTATATTTTAAAAAGGATCAACGTGATATGGGTATATTAATATTATATGCGACGCCTGAAAGTGCTTGTTAAAGGGAACCCCGTTCACATTTCAGCGTATAAAATGAGATCACGAAACACAAAAAATTGGCAAACAAAGATTAGATTAGAACCAAATTCTGCAGGTTTATACTATTAATATTTTTAATCAAAGTTGAAAATCAATTTAAATTCGTTTCAGTGATAAAAGAATTGAAGATTGTTGCACTGTAAGTTGTCGTGTTTATGAAACGCTCTGAGTTTTTTAATTTTATTTATTTTAGTTCACGGGAAACGCGGAAAAGAGTTTTCACAAAGTACAATCAATGCCAATGAAAATGAAGATGTGGGCAGGGCGATTAGCTAATAAGCTTTTTGGCGCAAAATAAGTTTTCCTAAGTTTTTACAGATAAAGAATCTAAAGATTTCCAAATGTCGCAAGCAATTTGTAGAATTTTAAGTGTAATACATAAATACGCTGTCAAAGTTACTCTTAATTCGACATTTGAGGAGAATTTGCAAAATCATCATCAAACAAAAGCTATTAGCTATTATTATTAAAACTTATTCTAAAGGATTTAACAAGTTAACATCTCAAAGACCAGAAAAACAACCAGAAATTATTTAAGGTTATAATACGTTATGATTTCGGGGATCTCCTCCGACTTTTGTATAACCCTTCTTTTTGGAATATTTATCGAGCACAGGATACGAACATTATTTCCCAGATCTTTTGTTAAAGTGGGTCCTGCCTAGCCGGAACAATAGGTAATGGCGGCCATCTTAATGGAGTAAAATAAAAACTGGCAGAGACCTCCAACATCAGTAATTAAATATAAGGGTGATCTCTGTTTATTTAAAGTGCAACAATAGGGGCGTTGTTTTCGAAAACATGTACAATATCTGTTTGGAAGGAAGCGTAGAAAGTATCACAATTATTGGAGATCGCTTAGGAATGGGCTTCACGTTGCAAAGATCCATGGAAGGAACCTGCGAAAGATCCCCATAAGAAATGTTTGGCACTCTCAATTTCCTTGTTCTTTATGTATTTGTTATATGAAAATCAAAATAATCAGAGTAAGCAAGGATGCCTGATCAATCAGCTTATCTTTTCTTGGAATATATTATTTATTATTATTACTAACGTTTAATTTTTTATTTTTTATACCCTTGCAGAGGGTATTATAATTTCAGTCAAAAGTTTGCAACGCAGTGAAGGAGACATTTCCGACCCTATAAAGTATATATATTCTTGATCAGGATCACCTCCTGAGTTGATATAGCCATGTCCGTCTGTCCGTCCGTCCGTTTCTACGCAAACTAGTCCCTCAGTTTTAAAGCTATCTGCTTGAAACTTTCCCAAAAGTTGTCTTTCTATTGCAGGTAGTATATAAGTCGGAACGAGCCGGATCGGGCGACTATATCATATAGCTGCCATATAACTGAACGATCGGAAAAGCCATAACGTTGGTGTGTTTAAAGTTAGGGAGTTGGGATTTTCTATAAGTTTTATTTTTGGCCAATTAATCCGACCTACCGAATTTCATAAGGATCGGACGACTATATCCTATAGCCGCCATATAACTGATTGATCGGAAATGCCATAACTTGGGTGTTTGTAAAGTTAGGAAGTTGGGATTTTCTATGGGTTTTATTTTTGCCCAATCAATCCGACATATCAAATTTCATAGGGATCGGCCGACTATATTCTATAGCTGCCATATAACTGAACGATTGGAAATGCCATAACTTTGGTGTTTTTAAAGTTAGGAAGTTGGGATTTTTTATGAGTATTAAGAATGCATCATATGAATAATTTTGGAGAATATAATTTGCAGAATATTCTGCAAGGGTATTTCAACTTCGGCTCCGCCCGAAGTTAGCTTTCCTTTCTTGTTTTTATTTAAATCATATGTTTAAAATGGGTTATAGCAGATGACGACAGGTTTTATCAACTTTTTAGTCACATTTTTCTATGGGTGTTATCATTTTTACACTGTGCGCTTTCGTGGGCAATATCGAAACAAAAATGTGACCATCGCTTGCCTTTTGTTTTTAATTAAAATCATATATTTAAATTAAATGATTGCTGATGACGATGGCGATAGCTAGGTTTTATCAGTTTTGTAGCCACATTTTTCCATGTTTTTTTTGTTGTTGTTATTTTTTAAAAGATTCCTCCGGCACTCTGTGCGTTCCCTGGTCTCCTTATTCCATAGAAAGTTTCGGGATTCGGCCGCCAAGCTCCCCCTTGAAACTACAAAAGCAGCGAAGAAGCGGCCAAGAAGCGCAGCACGGCACGGCACGGCGGCAGCATCGGCGGCATCGTCAAAGCGGCAATGGCAGCGCAACTTAAAAAAAAGGATTCTTCCCATCAGAAGTTGGTTCTTTTGCACAAGATAAAAATATTTTTTAATGTTCCCTGAACACAAACAAAAATTTAAGGAATGTCACGTTGTAGTGCCATCCCGCTCTCGTGTGCGCTCCATGTATGCATTGCGCATTTATTTTGGTTCCCGGTCCGTCGATTCTTCTGTGCCGTTGCCGTTGCCGTTGCCGCTGCCGCCGCTGCCGTTCCTGTTGTCGCTCGTATCTTCGTTGGAATGGGCCAAAGAATTTCTTTTACACAGACAAATGGTTGCCCCTGCTTGGACCAAGATCTGCTTGAGACTCACATTCGGGTAAATATCTATACATATATATCCGATGTGTACTGCGAATGTTTAGTAATAATTCGCCAAAGTCATGTTGCGACAACTCTCAACGGGCTTCGAAACTTTTTCAAATTTTTTTTTAGTCCTTGCAGCAGATGCAGAGAATTGAAAAAAATTATTTTAACGATTTCAGAAATACGGTTTTAATTCTATAAATATTAAACCTATCATAGGAACGATCGAAAAATGTATTTGAAAATCGACCTAGCTTCATTGTTTTAAAGAATCAAATTCAAACTATAGCTTATTAAATTAAAAACCCCTAATTAACTTATAAAACCACTATAAGTATAGCTTAGCATTGCTTCGTTTTTTTTTTAATTTCAATTATGTTTTATTTCGAAAATTTACAACATTTTCCAGGCTACAAAGTTTCTTATTTCTAGTATGTACAGATGTACGGATTTTGAAAGTCAGCTGCGTTTGTTGATAAACAAATCGTAAAATGCGTAACACAATTGCACGATATTCTAAGGTCAAGATCACGAGGACTTTGGAGTTTAATTGGGGATATTTCTAATAAACATGAGGAAGCGATTTCCAAATACTCTTATAGCACATGTTTTGCATCCATTTAGCTAATCACATACATGTATGTAGCTTTTAATTCCCTTTATAAAGTAAATATTGAAAACACTTTAATTACATTGTTATTCAGAATGATGCAGATCATTATACCTCCTTACTGAAATCTTCATCTTATCGGTAAATTATTTATTTTTTAATATACTTTAAACTTATTTCTGGCAACTTATCAAACAAGTTAACTCGGAGCTTTTGTATGCCACAATTTCAAAACATTGGTTCTTTCTATTTTGATGTTCTTTTACTGCTTTTATACTGAGTATAAATATCGAGAAGTTAGTGCATTTTTCAGTGACGTACAATTGAGTTATGTCGCATTTAACGGTTTGTATTATATATATGGAAAAGTAATTCGTGTACAATTGCAAATTGATCGTTTTGTCATGTCTGCGGAACGTGACAGCTGCTGTGTTCTAAAACTAAGTGGCTTTGGCAGTATCGGAAGGTGGTTCGAGTTCGGCAATATGCCAACGGTATGTACGGCTTAAGCTATGCACCGATCAGAAGGTTTTAACCAAAGGTGTGCATTCCAAGACTCTTCAAAAATCAATTGGTCCAGGAAAAATAGCCGCATAGGTGAGCAATTTAAAAATGTAGGTTTTAAAGCCGATCTAACAAAATTTTCCACTTTTTTAGCATTTTTTACTTGCTCTAATTTTGCTTCGTAAGACATATGTATAAGATGTCCAAATCCGATACTCCTTTCAAAAGAATATAACAAATCATGCAAATGAAAGCTAAATGGTAGTTTTTGCATACTATAAATTTTTAATTTTAGCTCTATTGCTCTTGAGATTTTTTAACTTTCGATATGTGCTATGTTTTTGTACAAATTTCATGTCGGCAATTATTGTGCAACAAAAAGAGAACGGGGGTTTAATTTCATCAGCACGAAGTTTTTGTAACTTCGCAGTTAAAACAGAAAATGAAATAGTGAATTTGGCATGATCGATTTATGTATAGTTAACACTGCGCAAATACACCAGACTATCTGATATTATTTCATTAATTTATAAATAAAAACTCCGTTCAATGGCAAATTTAAAATGTTCTACACATGATTATCCTTGCCTATCCAATGGGTGTGAGTAATATAAAACACTTGTATATTTACTATATACTTCCTTCTTTACTTTCAACCTGTTGATAAAAAATATAACAAAAGTTAAGCTTGTTGAATTGTCCGTTCTCATTTTTGGTGATGGATATTCACCGGTTTTAGACTGCATCAGCAATTTCACAGCTTCAATGGAAATTGTCATCAGCACATTTTTAAAAATAATTTAGCAAAATCAAATCTCTAAGCCAAAATTGATTTTCCTTTAATGCGATAATGGAGATTTGCTTGTTGAAAATAATTAAAATATATTGGACTATTAATCGCTTAACTTATTTCCGCATAAACATATTTGTATTCGCACTCCACTGGATTTTTCATCTCAAAGCAATTTAGGTTTAGAAAATTGGCTGACAGTTTATCATAGCTGCAATACAATATCCTGGAAATTGGACACACTTTAGAAAGAAATCAGCCATGCCCTGTGTGGATACACATATTAATACTTGATCTTGCCTAATTCACAAATTGTCCGAAAGACCAACTTACCCGGAAGCAATTACTACATTGAGAAAACATGTATGTCCACACGTAGAAAAAAGAACCAATTAAGGCCACACAAAACGAAAACCAAAGCATAATTAAGAGCCAAAAGACAAACCACAGTGGGTTACCCATTTTCATCCATTAAAGAATTATGACCGCAGATGATAAAAAGTAAAGATTTGCTTGTTGTAGTGTGCCTGTCACCAGTGGGAGTAAATGCAACTGATTAAAAATAGTTACATATGTATGTATTTAGTAAAACAGTGATATTGAAAAGTATAATTCGTATAAGGTGACAAAATAATCAAAGTAAACTCATTATTAAATCATGAATGAGGATACGATATTTCTGTTAACGTTGAGAAAAATTATTTATTAATGGACTTTTAAAAAGTGTTATTACACAGTCTCAATAGAATGTTTTATAATGTGTGTAGAATGTGATATGATGAAAATCTTACGACTATTACATATAGCTGCCATACAAACCATCGGACCAACCTTAGGACAATCTTCCAGAATCTCAGATCATTTTTAATACTTTTATAATACACTCATGGACAAAACAATAGGTATATACAACCTACTTAAGCACCAAAGTAAGCAACATTGTATGCCTGTCACAACCAAAGTGGTTATAATGTTCAGGAAGTAAGCGTTGATCAATAGATTATTCCTTGGACCATGGAGCTTAATACCATTTCCCAGGATTCAGCAATCCGGAGTCAAATTGGTTATTTGATCCCCAGCTTAAAACTCACATTTCTTACAATATTTAAGTTTAAAACAAGCTTCTACATTTGTACTTTCCCGAAGTGTTTTCTGGGTGTAGTAGATAAATAAGTTTGCTTGAGAAAACCAATCAATAACTCTTATTTACGGTGCCCGATTTTGAAGTGCCTTACAGTAGGTCGTGGCGGTTGATTCGAACGCATTTAACTCATACCAATTTCGACACGAAAATACACAAAAGTCCAAGATTTGATCCATGATGAGCGACAAGCTGGTGTACGATGTGACCGACCCGACCGTTCTGGAGCTGCGTGCCTCGGCGTTCATGCAGAACGGGCCGGTGAAGCAGGTGCGCAGCCTGGAGGATCTGGACCGCTGGGTGCGGTCGCAGGCCTACCACGACGCCGTCGCCTACATCAGCAACACCAGCCGGGCCATCCAGGGACATCGGCTGAGCCGCGACTTTCCGGTGTCCGAGCAGATGCGCCGCCTCTGCGAGATCTTCGACGGGCTGGAGCACCTCCTGGTCGAGCATACGCCGAGGGCCGAGGAGTCCAGCACCGAGGTGCCGACGGGGCAGGTGAAGAGCCAGTTCTACCGCATCTGGATGCGGGACATGTTCCAGCACGTGTTCAGCAAACTGAACGAGGCCATCAGGGCGAACTGCAAGCACATCAACGAGCTGGGCCAGTACCTGAGGCGATCCTTCGGGAACGTGACCAGCCTGGACTTCGGTCCCGCCAACGAGCTGATGTTCCTCTTCTTCCTCTGCGGCCTTTTCCGGGCCGGCATCCTGCTGGCCAAGGACACGGTGGCCGCGGCCCTGCTGCTCTTCGATCGCTACATACACCTAGTGCGCCGCCTGGTCGCGACCTATGCCCTTCCGATTGCCAAGGACCCGATGTGCTCCATCGACGACTACTACTTCCTGCCCTACCTCTGGGGCGCTGCCCAGCTGTCCCTGGAGGCGCCCTTCACCCCGATGCAGTGCGACCTGGCCAGGGTGGTGGAGGGCCACCGGCAGGACTACATGATGGTGGACCTGATCGAGCATCTGCAGAAGACGCGCGGCGGCCAGCTCAGCCAGGTGGCCTTCCAGCTGTGGAGCATCCTCTCGATGCCCACCTGGCCGCAGGTGTACAGGGGATTCGAGCGGAACTACATCGACCAGGTGCTCTGCTCCACGCAGACCGTGCAGCAGGCCATCTTCTGCGAGCTGATGTCCTTCGAGTCCGTGCTGGTGCCCACCCAGCTGGAGCGCGCCTACCTGGGCTCCCAGTATCTGGACCGGCAGAGGGAGAACAACGAGGAGCAGGGGGCACAGGGGCAGGCAAGCTTATTCGAGGCATCACCGCCCGTGAGCAGGTACGTGAGCCTGGAGCCGGATTCCTTTCTCGGATTCCAGGAGCCCGGATCCGAGGAGAAGTCGGACGACAGCGAGGGCAATCGCCTCTGGATGCTGCGGCAGATGGTGGAGGAGAACGATCCTAACTCTGCGCAGTTCTTTCCTAGTTCACATGGCCAAAACGAATCTATCACATCGTTTGCAAATGAAGGTTCCTAAAATGTCACTCCAATAATATAAAATGACTTGTAGGATGGAAAAGGCATTTGAAATGGCATTTGTACAACCATTTTTTTTAATTATAGCAATACACACCAAGATATACATATAAGCATTTGCTAAACTCTTTTAATGAGCGAAAACATGTGCAAAGCATTAATACTCATTAAGATCTGTAAAGCTATGGGCTTCAAAATTTGTTTTTCTTTGTTGGCATTAGCACACGTAAAAACGAAAACACTTTTTAAAACTAGTTATTTACAATTACAATTGAGTATTTTTAACTTTTCGTAACTTTATTGTAACTTATTTATTGAAAATCGAAGAGTTGACTTTGACTGGCGCATAACAAAAAGTGTTGCTTGTGCGCAGGCGCAAAATTCGAACTTATTTTTTCTTTTTTTGATCGGAATCAATTTTTGTCTTTAACCAAAACGAGGACGGAAGCTAACTTCGGCAAGCCGAAGTTTTAATACCCTTGCAGACTTTGACGAAATTGCTAAAAGTGAAAAAGTAGCGAAAGGAATAAGGTATACATAAGTAAACTAGATTTGCATCGTTTCAAGTCAATTGCTTTTATACTGCAAAAATGTCATATACAAAAGGGATACTTTCGCAGCCTTTAACAATTTTTCCTATCTCCTTTAAGATATAGACTTCCGAGCGGCAAGCGCTTTTACCCTAATCAAGATATGCGTAAATAAATAAGAATTGGAAAATTGTATGTTAGTAGCTTACACACTGCGCGAAATATTCTGATAATCATCAAATTTGGACCGATTTCACCCTATTGTTCCTATGGGAGCTATAGGATATAGACGTCCGATCAGCACGCGCTTTTACCTTGATGAAGGAATGCATAAAAAAATACGATTTGAAAAAATGTACAGCAATAGCTTTTACACATCGCGAAATATTCTGAAAAACATTAAATTTGGACCGATTTTACCCTATTGTTCCTATGGGAGCTATAGGATATAGACGTCCGATCGTCACGCGCTTTTACCCTGATCAAGGTACGCATAAAAAAATAAGATTTGGAAAGATGTATGTCAATAGCTTTTACACTGCGCGAAATATCCTAAAAATCATTAAATTTTAACCGATTTTACCCTATTGTTCCTATGGGAGCTATAGGATATAGACGTCCGATCGTCACGCGCTTTTACCCTGATCAAGGTATGCATAAAAAAATACGATTTGTAAAGATTAATGTCAATAGCTTTTACACTGCGCGAAATATCATAAATTCTTGCAAGATATATCCAATTGTTCCTATGGGAGCTATAGGATATAGACGTCCGATCGGGGCGATTTTCAAACTTGATCTGCGTACACATGTTTTAGGACGATTGTGAAAGTTTCAGATCGCTAGCTTTTAAACTGAGCTCGCAAACGGTATTGAAACAGACGGACAGACGGACAGACGGACAGACGGACATGGCTATATCGACTCCCCTATTGATCCTGATCAAGAATATATATACTTTATGGGGTCGGAAACGTCTCCTTCACTGCGTTACAAACTTCTGACCAAAATTATAATACCCTCTGCAAGGGTATAAAAATGTATTCCGACATAACGTGTCGTATGAGTAATATTAACGACCACCCTAATTTATTCTTGATCAGTATCGCATTCATAAACATGGCAAATGTGAGTTCCGGCAATTAAATACAATTAAAAAATTAAAAGCTCCATTTTTTTTAATTCATCTAAAAATTGTAATTTATTAAAAGTCAAGAAAACGGTAAGAATTATTGCCTATAAAAATAAAGAAGCTAATATGTAAAGCTTTATCAATAGTTAAGAAACGTATTATATATTTTTTTTAATGTGTTAACACCAAAAATCAAATGTTTTTTATTCGTGTTCCGCAGATTCTCAATTCGCTATTCGCGATTTCTTTAGTATATAATTTATAGGAACAATACTTTACATATTCACACGTTTTTATAATTTTATTAAAAGTCCATCGCACAAATGTATGTGTGTACGTGGTTTCCAAGAAATAGCAAGAAGGAACGTTATAGTTGAGCGCCTCGACTATCAGATACCTAATACTTTCTAAATAAATAGACTTTAGGTTGGTAGAGACGTCTCTAACCTTGTTATGTATTTTTACCTTAATTTCAAAAAAGTTTTTGAAATAACTATTTGACTTGGAACATTTTCGGTGTGTCGATAGATACTAATAGATAGATACTGAGAGAATTTTCGATTCGTGGGCATGGCCAATTTTTGAAATAAACTGGCTCTCTAACTGCATAGACTGATCTCGAAGGTATGAAATGATTTCCCATACCCACTCATACTTTTCAAGGAGCTCAATATACCTTATTACTCTACAAGTAACGGGTAGTAAAAGTCAAATGTGGCAACATGTTATTGTCAGATATGTATATCGTAAGAAAATTAGATATCGATATCGCTAGAAGAGAATATGGATATATCGATATGATAGATCAAACGGGCTTAATGTCCCCAAAACAAAAGAGGGAGGCGTTATGTCTCAAGTGATTAACGGAGAATTATCGCTACCCGCAATCAGATCAGAAATCTTGGGGCTTGATTATGCGATCGTCACAGGTTCCTCAGCTCATCAAGGCGTTATTTTGACTGGAAGGGTCAGAGAATGGGAAGTGACGAAGGACTTCCGTTGCGAAATTCTGGGCAAAGTTATAACACCCTGGCCAATGCAAGGGTTACAAAGTGAGCGAAATCGAAATCGTGCGCTAAGGCGCCAGCGGCATTAAGCTCGGCGGGTATTAGTCACACCCGACGGCGTCGTGAGAGAGAGAGAGAGAGCGGGAGCGGGCGTTGAGTAATAACGTCTCTCTCTCTCTCTCTCTTCTCTTCTAGCTCCCCAACTGCTTATGTGTGGGGTTTAAGCAGTGCACTTGTAATGGTGCCTGGTGTGCTGGTGATGTTTCGGTTTCGGGATTTGATCGGGTTGTGTTCTGCGTCTGTGGTCGTAGTCAGCGTTTTCGTTGCGTTTGTGTGGTGTTAGGAAACTAAACAACCAGATCCACCAGTTATGCTGGCAGAGGCAGTAGTCGGCTATCCTCGGCCTCGGCAGAGGCAAAAGCAAGAGCAGAAGCAGAGCCAGAAGCAGAGAATGAGTTAGCCAGACCAAGCCAACGTCAACAACCAGACCAGACCAGACCAGCTAGCTAGTGTTATCGACGCTGACGTCGGCGTCGTTCTTTGTATTGATTCGAATTTGGATTCAGTCGATGAGTTTCTCTCGCTTCTGCGCGTTGCGTTTTTCGCAGTGTTTCCGCGATTTTTCGTTTTCGTTGTCGTTGCGTTGTCGTCATCGTTGTGTGCGCCGCCTCGCCTCCTCTCATTTCAGCCCCCTTTTCGTACAGCCGTGTGCGGCTGTCACAGTGTGCGTGGGTTTAAGATTATTAAATACATTTTCCTTCTTTGCGATGGATTTGGATTTGGACTTGTTTTACTTTTTTTTTCATTTTGTTCTGTTTCAATGCGTTTTGTGTATTTTAATGTTATCTATCTGCATAGATATACTTTAGAAGATTTGTTTTAATATGCGACCGTGGCCACTTTTTGATATTCCCTTTCTCTCTCTCTTATTCTCTCTGATTTTTTTGTTTGCACGTATCTCAGAGTAGGCGTGGGGCCAAGAATATGGATGTGTGTGATTTTTTAGCCAAATTATCCTATACCTCTAGGTGTCCCAACAAAAAAGTATTTCATAAAAATATATCTACATCCATATGTAGTGATGTACATTTGCATGCACACATGTGCGAATGCTTTTGCACACTCACAGTAGTCGCATATACACACAATTAGAACTGCACTTGTGCAGAAAAACAGACTATTTGCTTAAGCAGATGAAAACTGAAAATGACATACACCATATCATCGTCATCACAATCGTCATCGTCATCGCTAAAAGCCTCGTCTCAATTACAAGTTCTTCTCTCCCCATTAACTAACGTTAAAATGTATAAAAAGCGACAAACCTATCCAATAGTTTGCTCTCTGGTGGCCATTCTTCTTTCTTCATCTTATTGCCGCAGCTGCGCCTTATTTCCACTGAAAGGCTTACAGATACACTCTCACTGCCACAAAGACTACGATATTGTACAAAGCTGGTCATACTCTTACTACGGAATACACAGTTATATACATGCGAGTGGGGGGAAGAGCGAGGGAGAGAGTGAGAGAGACGGAGAGCAAAAGAGCGAGAGAGAGGGAAAAAGAGAGAGAGAAAGAGAGTGGGAGTGTTTGAGAGAATGAGAGACGAGTAAAAAGATGTTGCCTGAAATGAAAAAGATCTTTCTCACTTCCTTAAGAACTCCGATTCATGAATTATTGCAGATGTAAGTATGTGAATATGCATGTGTGTATACACGTAGAATCGAAATTTGATTCGATACGAGTCGAGTCGAGGAAAAGTAAAGTAGTGCAAAAACAAGTATCGAATAAGCCACATAATCCAAAAAGCAAAAGGGTTTCCAGTCCAGACGCTGCTACCACCACAAAGCTCCGCCGTTATCACGTTAAAAGATAATAACACCTAATATAAAGCCTTTTACTTGTTTGTCAAAAGCGAAAAGAAAAAAAATCTAACTGTTACAAACGAATACGAGTAATAATAATAAGAGTGCCTTTGACCAGCCGAGACGACGGTGACGGTGACGGTGGTGACATCAGAGTCTAATTCTAGCGCCAACAGATTTTAATTCCGTGAACTAGGCGACGACGCACAGTAAAAGTAAACTGGCTGCATGAAAAACATTACTAGCTCGAGCACTTGCGGCACTGGGCTGCTGCAACTGCGGAACAACCTCGGCTGCACTGAGTTGGACGTTGCGGAGAAAACAGAAGAACAGCAGGCAGGTCCGTTGCACATTCGAATCACCAAGATCAAGTCACCAAGAAGTCACCCCCCCGGAGTGGTGGTCTCTGCTTTTAGTGACTTTCCTCGTGAGCGTGAGTAGTGCCCTACCAACAACAAAAAAAGCACATAGAGAGTGGAGAGTAGAGAGTTCACGAGGAAAGTCGCCCATAACAAAAACAAAAACAGAGACCAAAACTGCTACATATCCATACATACATACCTACATACATACATACATATATAAGAACATCCGATCTACATCCAAAACGAGAAGCCAACTTTCGATTGCCATCATGAATAATTCAATTACATAGCAAAGCTTAAAGATACAATTTTATTACCCTTCCAAAAGGTAATATTGTTTTGGCCAAATCATATTTCACCAACCGGATCGGAGTTCGAAAAGATCTTTTTTCACAAGTGTAATTGATTTGTTTATGATTGCATAATAATATTAAATTTTGAAGTGTAGGCGATTTCCCACCATGAGACTATACATATTCTTAATCAGAATCATTCCGCGATTTATCTACTGGATAAACATATTTATTTGCTCCGTTTAAAAGATTTCGACTTAAAACCTTTCCTTTCAAGAGGGTTCTTTTACTAATATCGTTACAGTGAACACCCTAGAATTTTATTATTCGAGTAAGCACTGTGCTCATGATAAGATACGATGTTAGATTTCTGACAATTTGAATTACTTGAAAAGTAAATAGGACGCCTATTTTTATTGCATATCTTTCGTATGAACTTTGTAAAAGGAAAGATAATGCCATTCAAAATAGAATTGTCGTATGATATGCAGTTCTATTTTAAATGCAACTATCTTTAACGAAACGCTTTTATCAAAAGGAAAAGACAATATTTACATAGTTTTATTAAGATAGCTTTTAATCATGGTGAAGGTGATGCTGAGTAAGAATGCATGTATCTTCCTAATGTCTTTGGGCTTACGGCAACACGCCAGCCAACTATAAGTCAAATCGGATTGTACTACTACTACTAACTACTTTGTGGGGTCGGAAATGTATCATTTACTACGTTGGGAATTTTGAATTCAATTTGTTCCCCACTGCAATGGTATCATTTTTAGAAGTAACCAACCAAATTGGGATAGCAATATACCATATTACCAGCAACCAAAATATTCTATTGAAACTCCTTAAAATCAAAAATTCTCGCAAATTATACTCAGAATGATTTATTTAGATGCATTCTAAGGGTTAATGCAATAAACTTTTATCCACCGATTTTAATAAATAACGTACTTACAAAAATTGTAACTTTGTTTTATTTCTCAAAAAATAACTGTTATCTGAGACTTTTATTTAACTGGGCAGAGAACAAATATTATCAAAGAATAACAGTTATATCAGATTTTTCAGGTTTAGTTTTCTGTTAATAATGATTTATTTATAATAACTATCTGGACATTGGCAATATATGGCGGTCTTAGCTGAATAATTCAATACTTTATAGTGCACCCTCTCAAATTGGAATGCCTAATGTAATATCTAGACTAGCTAGACTTTTTAGGGTAGAAATACTTTTGTATGTTAATTGTACTCAAAAAGTAACATTTTGACAAGATCGGTTATGATGCTTTTAAGCTTTAAGATTTCGATGCGCCAGCAACTGTAAAGAAATTTGTATAACATAGATAATTTATGTATATGCCCTTTTCCAGTTTTCAAAAAGAATAATCTTCACAGATTTAGAATTTCTAGACCTGTTTTCAAATTTTCTTTTTTGCTTTACTTGCAAATTAAATTTGTATAACATTCATTAATGTTTTAAGAGCATTGTTGCGTAATCAGTTTTGTTATTAATAACATTCTTGGTTTATTAAAAATTATTTTGTGGTAGCACTTCAGAATAAGTTTCATTCTGACCCTAGGCAGTTTTGCAAATCCGCCACCCCTGTTCTGACTTCAGAATATTTAAGGCGAGAATGAGTGGGTCATTTTAAGGGATGACATGGTGATACACAGTAAAATAAGTGTTTTATTTATTCTAAACAAACTTTTTTATGTTCATCGATGATTTAAAAGTTTTCTGCAGGCCTAATTGCATTTGATTAAGAATTATAAGTTTCTAAGCATAGTTTGTCACTACGCTTACCACTGATTTGTAGAAAATGTTGGTTGGCCAGTGTAGGAATTATTATGGAGGAGATAGATCAACTTACAGGCAAACCAAAGTAATTGCAAACTCTGAATTACACCAAAAATGTATTTGGAAAGTTCATATTTTTAAGTTATAAGAAATGGAGGTCCGATTTTTATTTACCAAAATATTTTATTTTAAAAACAGCTAAGCTATTGTAATTTAATTACAATTAAAAATCGTATATGTATGTTATCGTATAAAATAGTCCGTTCGTTTCGAAGGAAGCTGTACGATAAAGTTCCGGGATCGGACAAAAATTTAAATCGGACAGGTCAAGAACATCTATACTTTATCGGGACTAAAAGGTTTGCAAACTTCTGACTAAAATATATGAGCACTCCTGCTAATGTGTATTTGTAAGAGGGAGCTATCACAGTGCATTTATTGCCGTTTAGATACGTTTTGCGGATCCTAACTCTGATCCTGAGAGTGTGCTAAGTACGTCATCATATAGCTGTTTAAGGTCCCGTCGAGGCACAGGCACATACACACATATACGATATGTATATGCGACGAAGCATACATAAAGAAAATGAAAAAGCAGAATGCATACCATAAATTCCAATTGCCGTACAACAAAAATGCGGCTTCTAAGGGTAGAAATGGAAAAGCAGGAAAACGAAACACACATTCCCTTATTAAAACTGAACACGAGCAGCTGCGAGTTTCAGGCGGAAATTGAGTTCAAGCGTAGAGTTGAGCAGAGACCGTACACAAAAGTCTGTTTCTAGTTTTCTAATTGGAAATTATCCTGAACCGCTTCTGTCGAAATTCTGAAATTCAATGTGATAATATTAATGCACGGTTCAGCTATTTCGTTCATTCGTTCGGTGTTCTTTCCGCTCCCTTTCCCTGTTTTTGAATTGTGTGCTGCGAGATTATGAAAAATGGCACATTCACCCCTAAAGCGATCCCACCAACCCCTGCACTATACCATGCAGTTCCAAGCTGTGCAATATGCATTATTATAATGACCTACACCGTTTGCGATTGAGCCAGCCAAGCGGATTTTCGACAGAGGTTGGGTTGGCTAGCTCCTGCTCCGATCGACTTGGAAAGGAATGACTGTTCTTGATTCCGATAATCTCCCTCCTCTATGCACATTCTATATCCACTATTTCCACGATACCCATGTGGCCTCAGTCGCACTTGACGCCCCATCCTACATACTACATGCTACATGCTACAGACTACATACTACATCAAGGCTTCTATCAATAGTACGCTGCGAGGGTATGTGCCACTGCATTCTATCCTCTGTCTCACAAATACCTAGAACCATCCCTATACCTATAGGTTTATGGGCGAAACAGCGACGTAGCACCAGGGGCAGAAAAAGGAACCGGCCAAAACAAAGAATAGAAATATGTGGAAACTATAAGGCACATTTCAGTTCGACGTGCGCGTTTCTCTTAACCAGACGCATTTTAGTTTTTTTTTCCCCTTTGCTTTTGCCGTCCGGGATTGTTTTTTGACGCTGTGGAAAACAAGTCGAAAAAAAAAAAAATTCAACAACAAAGATAAATAAAAGAAAATCTTTGGGAAAAATGTTTTATTTGATAGATATAGATTTAAACCAGTGAAATGTTTAACTGAAAATATTTGTTTCGAATTAAAAAAAGGAAAAATTCGAAAATTCGAAATTTATTTGGAAAACGATTTGTGATATCGGCTTTAAAGTGGCGCCCTTCTCCAACCATTTAGATTCCCTCGAGGAATTTAAGGCGTTATCGGGTGAGTGGATGGACAGGACGGCATAGAATACTCCATTCAATATCTGTATATTTTAGAATATTCGTATTGAGCATAATTAGATCGTTAAAAGATTTTAAAATCTTATGAATTTTTCATTTTATTTGAAAATGCTTTCTAATTATCAATACTTCTTATGATAAATTGTAAATAATAATTCGTAAGCATTGAACATCTTAATTAAATCGTGATATAAGCTTTTTCGGTATTTCTGAGCTTTAAGAAATTCGAGGAAGAACGTTATAGACGAGCTGATCGATTATGGGATACCCACTAAGATCATTTAAAAATGCTCTGATTGGCAAACAAATAATCATGATCTAAATTGTGAGGGCCACACATATGTTCAACCTTCACACTTGGCTATAAATGTGGATTAAGCACCTGTTACAAACAATATACTCTAGTATACCCTATACCCACAGAGGCACACCCACCATCTGTTTGCGGGATAGGCCACAAGCTTTTGCCGTATTAAAAATTGTTCCTCCAGTTTTATGCAACATTCGGCTGAATGTTTTTTTGTTTTCCCGTGCAGCCCTAAATTCTTGACATTCACAGTGAAAATTTAACAGTTCACAATGAAAACGTAAACAAAGAAATGCCGGGAAACACTATGGAGATTTTCCGGGCTTTCAATTCTCTTAAAAATATTTATGCTAAATTTAACTTAATTTTGAAAACTTATAAATTATTTTGATCAAAATCATTAATATATTTTTGTTATTTCGTAAAAGACAGCATACCATCTACATATGTGTCAGGATTTTTGGTTTCTTTTAATAAATTTCTTTTAATAATCTGGCCCCTAAATATGAATAACGATTTCAGATTTTTAACATTTAAAATGTACCCTTCAGTCGATCTGATATGACAGTATTGAATTTTTAAAATCGATGTTTATATTTTGAAATATGACCCAAAGATTTAAAATACCGATAAAATTTAGCTAATCTCTTCGATGTAAAAAAATTCCATTCAAAATTTTTTCGTGTGTCAAAAGTTTGCATGAAGTTTTCCGTTTCCCAAACAATGTTGTTAGCTTTGAATACTTAAAGGAAAGAGATAAAAAATGTTTTATTAAAATGGGCCTAATTAAGAGGGAAATTAAATTTACATAAATTTTGTTTTTCGTGACTGTAGATTGAAAAATTTGGCGGGCTTTTTGATAGCAAAAACAATTTTTGATTCAGCGTTGCGTTTTTGTATTTATTTACACACGGTGAAGTTGGTTTTATGAAACGACTCTGAATTCATCGCCAACTTTCGTGTGTTGGTGAATACATGAAACACGGGTGCTTTTATGCATACACTTGTTTCCCCATTTCATGAAATGATTGCCCGAAGTCGGCATCGATAAAAACCAGTATTTGTGAATGGCTTTGCCAAAGTCAAGATGAGTCAAACGTTTCTTAGGTATTATCAACATTTCCTCTTTTATCTCACACAACTCTTGACACTTTTGTTGGTTAAGGCTAATGGTGGGGTTTGAATTTATACATATATGTTCTCACAACTATTAGACTGTCTATGTGATTATTGTTGAAGTGTATTGTGGTCTTGCATTAGCTCATATGAGTTCTAAGTAAGAACTTTTACAAATTATCTAGTAAGGCTAAAAATTAAATTAAATATTAACAGCAATATATTTATTATACATATATTTTGATGTATATGTCAATATACGTATTTAATCAGATCCAATTTATACTCTTTCATTTTTACTAAAAAGCTATTTGCCCATTTTTACTATTCACATAACTACATAAATCAATTATATTGAATTATATCGAGAAACACAGTGGAGTTACGGCAATCGATCATGATAGACTTCTTTGAACTTTTTGGACAACAATTAAGATTGTCGTAGTATTATTCTTTATTTGTGACTTTTTTTTGGGAGGGCAACATTACCTCTATTAAAAAATATGCATTCGTTTTGCAAAAATGCTTCTAACATCTAAATGTTTGGTAATTGTTTTTTCGTACTTATTTTTGTGTTATTTGTTTTCAGTTGGACCCGGCACCATACCATCACCGTGGACACCAGTGAATGCCGGTCCTCCAGGTGCCCTTGGATCGGCAGACACAAATGGCAGCATGGTGGATAGTAAAAACCTGGATGTTGGTGATATGAGCGATGTAAGTTTCGAATTTTCCTTTTTCACATTTTATTACAATACTTAAGAACACATTTTATGAATATCCGACATTATTTATAGTCGTTTTAAAGGTTTTAAAAAATGTTTTCTGAGTTTCTTTACAAAACCCCAGAGGTTGATTTGCACACACTTTTGGGATAATAGATTAATGACCCATTTTAGGCATATGGGCATTTCCATTCGATTGCTAGAAACTTTCGTATGCATTTAAAGCGAAAAAGGGCAAAATAAAAAATAATTTAATTTTAAAAATAGGTTTAACCTGTTACCCTTATATAATGCTTGATTTTGTCCTAATTTGTTAGTTTCAAAATAGTTTTTAAAAGCAAAAAAAACTTCAAATGATATCCATTCTGGGTTATCGGAAAAGCGCAGATGGGATTTAGGTAGACAATAGTACAGGCACATTTTTAATGGCTAGAAAAACAATTAACACAAAAGTCTTTTTTACAAGAAATAAGTCCTGGGTAGAGCTTATAAAATAAATAAAAATGTTAAATAAATCCATTAAAATCCAAAAGCTTGGATTGGTTATCTTTCGGAAATAGAGATGTATCTCGCCATGTGCAAGAGATCTCGTGGTCAGATTCGGATTCAGCACAACGAAATCTAATTGGAATGCATGACTGTTCCGGAAAAGTTATACTGACCAGCAAACGCTGGAATTAAACCCGATAAAACATAGTTGAGTTTTTAAAAATATTGCTATGAGTGCGTTTATGAGACTGGAAAGGTCTTAAAAAATTTTTGTTTGCAAATTTGAAGGCGTTAAGGGTCTGCCACATGTTGTAATCCTCACATTTCCAGCTATAATTCTTGATTTTTATAATTGTTATTCACTGATTGCTTAATAATATGTAATAGAGTTCAAATATGGAAATAAAAACCAAGCGAATCACTTTTAAAGCTTCTTATTTCCATTCTTGTTTTTTTCATTAAAAATTATATTATAAAAAATTAAATTGGCTTGCGTCTTTTTCGTTTTCGTCCTTGCGCTATGTCATGTTCTTTGATTATTATTTGAATTATCTTACATTCTGGAGCAAAAACATGTTTCCAAAACACTGCAGTTTCTTTTTTCTCAAGTTGTGTATAACCAAATATATAGTAAAATGCATTTCTACAAAAATACAAGAAATGTTATTTAGCTCAAACCAAATTATTTAATCGCTTGTACAATCAATAAGCAATCCTACATCGTAAATATTTAGAGTAATTCACGAAAAATGGTTTAGTCGATTTAGAGTAATCACGCCCCCAGTCTTAAAAGAGTGGTTTCGAGAAAAACGCAAAAGAATAAAATGCACTTGTAAGCGCTATACCTTGGAAAAGAATTTAATTTTCGTTTTATATCAGTTCGGGTCATAAGTTCGCATACATGAATAAATCTAAAGCTTGTGCACGTACATTCCTCCGATATGATTCATACTTGGTGTATAGATAATAATACAATTTTCCGTTGAGTCACACAATTGTTGTATGTACCCTTGCTAAAAGTATTATCATTTTAGTCAAAAGTGGAGGAGATATCCCCGACCCTATAAGTGGATCGTCTGTCCGATTCTACGCAAACCAGTCTCTCAGTTTTGGAAAATACATATTAAAAATGAAAGTGTATATAGCTTTTTGTAACAGCTGTAAGGGGATATAAACTTCGACTTGCTTTCTGATTATGTTTATGATTATCTCTGGCCCTTACAGATTTGCTAAGGCATGAAAAGAACGCACAAATTCAAAATTCTGAAGGGTTTTAACAAGTCTGTGTGTAACCCTTCTCTTTTAAGTTATTAAGTTTCAAATTGAGCGGGAAAGTAGATTTGAAACCTTTGAATTCATCTCCCTGTCCCAGCAAACCCATCAATCGTCACTAAGTTGTTTTGTTTTTATTAGTACGAAAACCTACTAAACATTTTATTCATTGTACATATTTCAGGACGAAAAGGATCTTTCGTCCGCTGATGCCGAAGGTGTATGGAGCCCAGACATCGAACAGAGCTTTCAAGAGGCATTATCTATTTATCCGCCGTGCGGACGTAGAAAAATCATCTTATCCGACGAGGGTAAAATGTATGGTAAGTGTTTATGAATCTACCTACGTAATGTTTATAGCTGGATACCAAATTTATCCGTAATTAATTTTCCACTTGTCACATAAAGTGCATTTTTGTTAGGCAAAAAACCTAAATTTTAATATTTCTTTAGGGTGTATTCTAATTTCGATCAGATCTGGGACATATGGTTAGATGTAATGTAATGAAGATTATCCTTTTTAGTGGATCTCTGTTTTTCTTGGGGTTATATAAGAATTTCAGCCATAAAGGTTTTTTTCAATTATTTTAAGGACTACCTTGTTTTTGCGACCTTGTTTTTCTAACTTGAAGTCTTTTGTCGATTTAGATTTAAAATAAAATCGTAAAGAAAACTTAAAGCTTACGTTTATACATTGTTCAAGGAAAAGAACAAAATAAGCGAAATGCTTGAATGTTTGGCTTTCATAGGGGTCTAATCTGCGAAAGTCCAGCGTCAAAGTCTAGATCAAGATGGAAAAAAACAGTTGGGGAATAGTTAAATATTGTGCGTATAAAACTTTTAGTGATGCTATTTTCAAAGTCGCGAATGGAATGGAACCGTACATCCATTCGAATTCTATCAAAATTCGGTTGGAAGAGATTTTCGGGGTTAACGCTATTTAAGTCTTCCCATCCCACTTTGCTTAGGGGTTGAATTTTACCAACTTTTCTTAGGGATCTAGCATATGACATGAGATAAATCCTTTCTGAATAAAAGCACTTATATTTGTAAATGAATAGCAATTAACGGCCTCATATTATGTGTAAGGTGAGCTGTTATAAATACGTATTCACTCATTATTTTGTCTTATGGCATATTGCAGGTCGCAACGAACTGATCGCACGATACATCAAACTGCGCACAGGCAAGACGAGAACCAGGAAACAGGTCAGCTCACACATCCAAGTGCTTGCCAGGCGAAAACTCCGCGAGATCCAGGCGAAAATCAAAGTTGTAAGTGACTCGAAATATTTAAACATACATATTTTTTCGATGGGGTACAGTCTTTTTCCATCGGAATGAAGGGCATTAAAAGTAGTTTTTATAAGGGTAGGTCTCCCAAAATCGAATGAAACGTTAGATCTTAGGGGTATATGAGCATGAAAAGCAAGGAAGACTTGTCAGTTGAGCTAGAAGATAATCCTTAACGTCAAACCTAATAATTCTGGTGGAGCGTTAAGGATTGCACAAAGGTGAACTTGCCTCATGATTGTCCCGATTGGAGGGTCAATGTCAACCAGTCACCAACTTCCTCTCCGATTTTGATTTCGTATTCGATTCCGATTTCCATTCCCGAGTGCAACCGTCAGAATTACATAATAAAAACAAGATTGCGTGTGATGATGATGTGTGATAGACAAACACTCGGTGGCGATAAACAGCAGCAGGCACATGTTACAACTACACAGCACACCCAATCACAAACCCAATTTGAACACTCGACCAACTGAAACTCTTTTCCAGGAAAACAATGGTGTGTCCTTGCATTTATTGAATGAGAAAGAGCAGACCTTGCAGGTCATGAGCACAATGACCAGTTCGCAAATCGTGTCCGCCCAAGCGGCCAACAATCTGGCATTGGCCGCCTCGGCACTCTCGGCATCGGCAGGTGGTGGTGGCCACCACGCGAGGCATCTCACCCTCCCTCCCCCATCCCATAGGCAGGCTGCGGCGGCGGCGGCAGCAGCTGCAGCAGCCGCGGCCCTGGGCAATGTCTCCTCATCCTCGTTGGTCTCCTCCGGACCGCCGGCCATTCCGTCGTCCTCGTCAGCGGCGGCGGCATCGGCTTTGGCGGCTTCACCCCGACAGCACCACTACCACCACCACCATGCGCACGTCCCAGCCCACCACCACCACCACCACCATTCCCATCCCAACTTGCCGCACCTACCGCATAGTCATATGCATCCCCACCACCATCACCAACATGCGGCGGCCGTTGCGGCGGTGTATCATCTGCAGCAGCAGCAACAGCAACAGCAGCAGCAGCAACAGCAGCAACAGCAGCAGCAGCAGCACCGGTCGAACGATACGGACCCCGATCCAGTGGCTCAGTGTACTGGCGGTGGATCGGCATCGGCATCGACATCGGCACCACCTCCTCCTCCGCCGATGCACCACCCGCCGTTGTATTCTGGCGTAAGCTACTGTTATTATTTCCAACTCGATTTCCACCGCCTTGTGCAAAATATGCTGTCATACCGTTCCAAAACAAAAAAGAAAAATCAAAACACGCAACTCATTACCAAGCTACTGCGCTGTTGCATTAATTCCAAAGACGCTCTACAACTCATGGTAGCACCAAACCGAACCAAACCAAACCAAAACCAAAACCAAAACCACCATCACCACTGCATAATCTGCAATGCTCATTTAGGATTTGCAATGCTCTCACTTGGCTTTTTGTTATGTGTGTACTCACCCGACATCAGTGAGCAGAGGAACCTCTGACCGCCGTTCTTACTTAATTAGTATGTGCAATATGCTGCAATCTCTGCTCTGCGCCTCCGATGATCTGAGCCTCTCTCTCTCTCTCTCTCATCTTCCTGTATCCATCCATTCTATCAGCTATTCCAAGCCTCCACTCGCAACTCGCCATTCGCCATTCGCCACTCCACTCCACTCCACTTCACTCCACCCCCATCACTCTACTCAAATCCATGTCATCGAGGCCCAAATGAGATGCCCGTTGTACTGCTACGCCACCCCTAATGCGCTCGCTTGCTCATTGAAATTGACTCCTTGCTTTTTGACTTGCTATACGACGAGGAGAACCTCTGTTAATAGAACCTAATTTAGAGTTATGTTCGCTATAGACATGTATATTGTGTACTACGTATGTAACATTCACCCACTCTGGCCTAAACGGAACTCGCTGGGTAACTTTAATTAATGACAATCGGTTAGTGAACAGTTGATTAACAAGTCGCCTCACCATATGTTTAACCATCTTGTATAACGCCCAATATGTACATCATCTACTGACCGGTCAACCTAGCTCACTGATATGCATATGAATTCCTTATTAATCCATTCATTTCGATTGTCTTCCCTCTATGAAACAGCAATTCTGGCAACCCGGACTACAGCCGAGCACGTCCCAAGAGTAAGTTGGCATCGTCTACCCTATGAGCTGGCTATACAACGCATTTGCATTGACCAATAGTTTCTATGATTACAGCATCAAGCCCTTCACCCAGCCACCCTATCCCGCTGGCAAGCCGTCGACGGCCGTCTCCGGGGACGAAGCTGGAATTCCGCCCTCACAATTGCCCTGGGAAGGTCGAGCCATTGCCACGCACAAATTCCGCCTACTTGAGTTTACGGCGTTCATGGAAATCCAGAGAGATGAAATGGTATGGCCAACGAGCTCCACCCCCTTCCCCCACATCGATTGTGCGATATATTAATTAATTCCCCATATTTTCACAGTATAACCGTCACCTTTTTGTGCAACTTGGCGGTAAGCCATCCTTTTCCGATCCGTTGCTTGAGGTAAGAACTTGCAGTGAAACAATTCCGAACAAAAATTAACCTGTATTGTTTGTTACTCATTTCAGACTGTTGATATCCGACAAATATTCGACAAGTTTCCGGAAAAGTCTGGGGGGCTCAAAGATCTCTACGAAAAGGGTCCACAGAATGCGTTTTACCTAGTTAAATGCTGGGCGGACCTAAATACCGACCTAACGACCGGCAGCGAAACGGGTGATTTCTATGGCGTAACCAGCCAGTAAGTCTCATCCGATCAAATACAAATACCTAGTATGGGGGAATAGTGATTTCTACTCAGATACACATATAGTTTGTATACTAAGAAATAAGTAGGCATACCGAAAACTTATTATTATCATGATCACAAATCAGTGATGAATCATATAAAACTTATCAAGTTTTTCTGGAGATCGCATTATTTGAATTTAGACCGAGTGCAACGTACATTTTTAAAAATATGTGCCCCAGAAACTCGAATAATTTTGTTTGTATTGAACCAAAAACTAAAATATTTTACTTTAAAGTTTAAACCCAAATGGGTAGATTGCTGGCTTTACTTGAGAATTAACCATTTTATAACGTTGTTTAGTGTTTTTAACATTAAGCCCAAGCTTAATCTTCTTTAGTGTTCCCTGAAAAATAATTTGAGTTTTAATACAATCATCGGCATAACAAAAATTCTCGTTTAAATATTTATGACCACAGGTGTTTACCTTGCGAAGTTAATTATATGTTATGTAAATTCAGTCTATATTTAAAACAATCAAGAATGTTCGTATAATTTTCCATTTGAATACTTTTAATTCAGCTTTAGAAATTTGATTTTTAGGATTAATTTTGACTTTTCAGGCGGAAAAATTCATTTCAATTAATTTTTTACCAACTGAAAATTCTTATTTAATTATTGTCTTTCCACCACAGATATGAAAGCAACGAGAATGTCGTACTCGTGTGCTCCACGATCGTTTGCTCTTTTGGCAAGCAGGTGGTGGAGAAAGTGGAAAGCGAATACTCTCGACTGGAGAACAATCGCTACGTTTATCGTATTCAGCGATCACCCATGTGCGAGTACATGATCAACTTCATTCAGAAACTGAAGAACTTGCCGGAACGCTACATGATGAACAGTGTGCTGGAAAACTTTACAATATTGCAAGTAAGTAAAGTGTGATCATGAAGTTGGAATATATAAGCAATGTAACTAAATTCCCTTCTTTTTTTTAGGTAATGCGAGCCCGCGAGACGCAGGAGACACTTCTGTGCATAGCGTATGTTTTTGAGGTGGCGGCTCAGAACAGCGGCACCACCCACCACATATACCGTCTAATTAAGGAATAGCAAAAGCTGCATGGAGCAGAGCCTGACCTGTCTGCGAATCCCATCAACACAGATGTTCACAAATTTATCGAAAACAACAACAGCAGCAACAATAATAGTAGTATCAATACCGCCAATGCCACCGCAACCGCCAAGAATTGCGATAATAAAGCGAGTGGTGGGCACAGCAACAGTGACCTGGCCAACACGATATCCAACACCATCAGCAGGTCCAGCAGTGCCGCCAACAGCAAGAGTGGCATGAGCAACACCAACAGCAGCAACAGCAACGGCAGCAACTGCAACGCGCAACTCAAATGTGGCAACAGCAATATTAAGAATAGGAATCTGTCCGCTGTTACGACAATTATCAAGCAATCCCTCACCTCGCCACAACATCAGCACCATAACGAAATTGGTGCCCTGACTGCACTGCAAGTGGAGGAGGTCATTTATACAACAACACAGTCACAAGCCAATAACAGTTACCAGTTAGACTCTGAACCAAGCATTGCTTCCAACGTACAAGAGCCAACACTCCAGCAGCAACACACCGCCTACCAGGACCGCACGGTCACAGTCCTTCCCACGTACGACCTGTGCATCGGCAACAAGCAACAACCATTTGAGGCTGAGCAACGGGAACAGGAGCAGGAGCAGGAGCAGGAACGGGAACAGGAACAAAAGCAGCTGGGCACCAGCAGCAGCAGCAGCGCCAGCGCCAGCACCAGCAGCAGCTATGAGCAGTTCCTGAAGTTGTCCGCTCATCAATATTCGGAACCTGAAAGAAGCTCGGCTGCACTCAACCTCAGTAGCATTGTCGAAAAGGAGGCGGCGGTGGGCGGGTCCAAGCCCGAGCTTGAACTCGAACTTGAACTTGAGGAGCCGCAGCAGTTTCGAATGCTCCACGAGGTGAATGCGGCCGAGGCAGAGGCTGCCACTGCCACTGCCGAAGGAATCAGTAACAAAGGCCGTGAGCCGTGAGCCATATACTACTACCAGCCTTTAAGTGAGGTTGAGGCTAGTTTTAAGGGTTAGCAATATAAGAACGACACCATCAGAACTTTTTGTTTTCCACCCAAATACCATGGCAGGTGACAACGGAACAGCCTCAGTACGATGATTGGTGGTGTTCAGTATCGAAATCAGATTTTTATTTTTTATCAAAATAAAAAGTGTATCATATTATGTTACAATAATTTGAAAGACTCGAACAACCGACTTTAGTTCAGCATAGAGTGCTTTCTGTAAAATTGTACTATACATACATAAAAAAAATACATTTAAATGATCTCAAAGTTACTTAAAACATATTTTTTGTGTATAATTTTTTTATGAAAACTTTACAAAATCCTACAAAAAAATGAAATGAAGGAAATATTTAGGACTTGTCGTGCGCTGATTTTAAAATAGGAAAGTAAGAGTAAAAATTGACTAATATGTTTGAAACAAAGAACGCCGCGAAAGAAACAGATACATATAGTTTTCCGAATAACCATTAGATATGCATAAAACCGTGCAAATAGGATTAAGCCATTTTTTTTTATAAAAGCTTTTATTTAAAGCTACAAATTGTATAGAAATAATATGTTAGTTTTATTTTATTCAAGCTTATCAACTTTCATTTAGCAACAGTGCAGTGCAGAGGAAAGACAGCAGGTATGACACGTTGACAACTAGTTTAAAAAGCTGGCTGGAGTGGAAACTGATATGGAGCTAGATAAGGTAACTTCGAGAACTTGAGAACAAAATATATTTAAATTTGTTAATTGAAACCCTGGCATGAGATGATGAGATAGGTAGAGAAAAAAACGAGAGGGCGAGAGGTGTTGTGTGTTACGCGATGGTTTTTGTCTATCCATTCGTATTGTAGTGGCAAAAATGGATATGTAAGTAATTGAATTAAGCATGTGTCGAATGATCCACCGTTAATTAAATTATTAATTACTGATTTAAATTCATTAGTATTAAAAATGCCCATATATTATAAACTAAATAAAACTGGTATGTAATTAGCCATTTCTGCATCCACCGAAGACAAGCTCGAACACATAAAATGTCCAAATTGTAAGAAATTATACATATATGCAGAAGAAATAACATAAAGATTTATTTTCCGATCTAAATAAAATAAAGATAACAAAATGTATTCTGAATGTAAAACAGCCTAATTAAAATTATCTTAATAATAATAATACATTTACGCATATATATTTACCAAATAATATAACATATTTATGCTCTAAAGTATATACGACTACAACAAATACGCATTTTTTGTTCGTAGATAAGATAAGTTAATGTGAAAAGAATAATATGATTGCTACTAAAAAGTTCCACAACAATGACAGTTGAATTTTATTTCGAGAGCTAAGAAAACCAGCAACAAAAATATTTTAAAGGTATAGACTTAAAAATATTATTATTAAAGATCACTAATGAATATGGTTGGCAAAATATAGGTGGAGAGTAAATATAATAAATTCAAATTTACCCGAAAGTCTTTGATTTCAAAATTGTAGCAGCCAAACAAGTTAAATTCAAAATTTGACTAAACTAATCAGAGATCGGTAACCGTGACGCATATTTTTCTTGTCAAAATATTTCAAATCCACCGCCGCAATTCAGGGACACATGAAATTCATAGAAATCTAGGAAAATATGTAAAGATTCATCTGAATTTATGGTTTATATTTTGTTGCCTTTGCCGACAGTTTAATATATGTTTTTATTATTATGGATATTTCAGCTATCGACCCCGTATCAAAAACAGGTGGATTTCTCTTTTTATGTTTTTTTTACTGATATTAATCTAATGAATCAGAACGAAGAAGAATCATTTTTTTTAATAGCCCTGCAAAGCGTATCTTAAAAGTAATCAACGAGGCGTTACAAACTGTCCGTGTGTCTTACTGTTTGCCAACTCACTTTTAAAGATATGGACATGGTTCTTTCGAAATTATCTTTTTATGCAGATCAAGTTTTAGATCAGATCGGACCCCTATATTCCTATAGCTGCTATCAAAACTCTTAGAACGAATATTCCAGCTGATACAAAATCGATTAGTATGTATTGGGGAGCCACATCCAGCAAGCTACCGCAATTTTGACAGTGAACAATATTATATACTTGTTCAACTTTTTTTGCCTGCATAATTTTTGGCGTTAATAATTGAAAAACATTCTACAGGCAATTGAACAACATTCGGGACAAAATACCCTATGAAATCGCCCTTTTGCAATGGATTCAAAAGCTTAAAGCTAAAGAAAGGCTAAAGGTGAAAGATTCGAATTTAATATGTAATAAATTAAGAAAACACTCAGTTAAATATATACAGATACCAACTAAAAGCACTAGATTTCCATTCTTTTTTTTAATTTGTTCGACAGTTACAAAGTTCCCGGTAATATTTTTTTTTTGAAAAAATGTATTTTCCTTTCTTCATAAGGCAGAAAAAGGCATTACCACCATTGGCAAAATTTTAATATATCTACAAAAATAGAGACACAATCTAAAAGAGCTTTGAACTGCCTTAGTTCTGTCTATGTTCAGGGTACATATTAACTCTCACGCCGACTTTAAAATTATATCTTCTAAATATTTATGCACTTTTCCAACTTCAATTCCAATTCCTATTCTATTCAATCATTGATAGGCTTGAAAAGGCACAAGCTATTTTAAGTATTCATTTTATTTAAATGAACTACACCCTTAATGCCTAATGTCGAATTCTAAATATATGTCTCCATAGAATACAGCAATTAATTGACTAGGAATTCAACGATGCTCTGCTCTGCAAGCTTACAAAAAAGAATTGTGCCTGTAATTCTCAGAAAATTGGTATTTTATGTTCTCACTTCCGTACGAAAAGTTTCATCCGGATAGCTTAGAAACGGAAAAACTTCATTGCGTAGAATCCGACAGGCAGATGGCGATGCTGTTCAAAAATATATTTTTAAACAAAATTCCAAGACCAGTTCACAACGCAAAGCCCTAAATTAATATTGTTTGTATTTCCAATTATTGCACATAAAACCAACCTTACAAAACCTCTTGCAATAGAAAAAAGAACTTCAATCGACTGACAATAATGTCGTTAATTATGATAAAAAGTAATATATTCTGTTATATTTGAATAAAGAGTGCTGTAATTATCAAAACATATAATTTTATACTGTCTACAAACAACCCAAAAATTGGATTGTACATTGCATTGCTTTAATTTAACAATGTTTGAAGTTATATTTACGGTGTTGTTTTCGTTTTGGTAATTTTTGGCGCACATGCAATTAATAGATTATTTTTCTTATTTTATTGGTATTCCTTTAATGCTGATACATTTGTTTTTAAAGTTGTTTTGATGGTTTTATTGGGTTCAGTCCCTACAAATAAGGATAACCCATGTTGCGTCCTGCTGCTGCCGCTACTGGAGGTGCACCTTGTGGATAATTCTGTGCATATTGTGGAGGAATTCCCATTGCTGGTCCAGCAGTGATCATCAGTTGCGGCTCCATCTGTATAATATTTTTATGTTCAGTAGAATCGTCTTCCTTCTCGCGCTGAGCTTCGTTCAGCTCCAATTTGTCAACTTTTATTGTGTATTCCCGCAAAACCTTAAGAATGGATTAAACATTAATATCACGTCGTTTCTTAAAACATGTAATTGACTTTACTTGAATTAAATAGGGCATGGCAAAGTCAACGATTTTATGTTTCCAAGCCAACTCCAAAATTACGTCAGGGCGCAGCAAGTCGTAGCACTGCAAAAAATATTAAAAAATGATTAATACAAAAGCTAAATAAAACATTTTCGGCTCCTGAAAAGCCATTCTTTTCATTGCAACAGACTATTGCCATTATTAGGTATTAGTTACTCTAATTTTATTCTCAGTTTGACTTTTGTGGCCAGAACAAGTACCCACCTGATATAGACATGCTGCAAAGCAATCGTAAGCATCGCGTTCTAGGAACCAACCCAACAACTCTTCAGCGATATCTTGCTTGCAAGACTCGGCGGCATATTC